ATATAAAATATTGCAGATTGAGACACGTTTTGAATTTTGATAGAGAATATATTATACTTCTACAAAAGTAAATCCAAAGGGAAAGGGTAAAAGCCGGAAGTGCCGAATTAGGAAGGTTAGGAAGTTGGTTTGCGGTCTTGCAACGACATAAATGTTTAGCATTTTAATGAGCTACATGGAAACACAGTGGTGTGTCATCGGCTTAGGCGTTCCCACACACACACACACACACACACATATATATATATAAGTCGGAAATAATAATAATAATAATTACTGACTGATTAGCTTGTTCATTTTGATATTTCTTAATTAATGTTAATAAATGTATATAATAATAATCATTATTATTATATTCTATTCGTACGAATTTGTGTAATTATCCTGTTGAAAAATATAATTTAAAATAAATAGCTCTGTAATTGTAAACGCAAATGTATATACATGTATATGTTAATATACTTGTTAGTAACTCAGCACGAACTCGCGTGTCGAAAGGATTGTAGCATTCGAACGATCTAATGATAGCATACAAGCAATGTGTGTGTGTGTGTGTGTGCTCTTAATTTGCCGCACGATTTACTACCATCCGATAAGATCCTCGTTTGTATTTTTTCTTGTTCTTTTTTTTTTCTTTCTTTCTTTTCCTTATCCAACATTTTATCGATGTTCTAACCATTCTCAAGTATCCACGACAATTGGAAATAAACGAGTCGTTTATTTTGAAAGTGTCGTAAAAATTCATTTATGTTCGAACCAATTGAGATATTAAAAAGAAATAATGATGAGTTATCATCAGTTAGGTTGAATAAGCATTCGTTGTCTTGAAAATGAAGGACTGGTGATGGGTAGGGGGAGTTGAAGGGGTTGGGGAACTTCGATGTATTACTACGACAGGTTGGCCACGTGATTAACCTAACGCAAGCCACGGTAACCAATTAGGGAAACCTCGAAGATATCTTGAAAACGGGATAGACTAACATAAGATATATTATACTGACTCAATGGTTATAACTTATGTGTTAACCTTGAAGAGAAAGAGAAAGAGAAAGAGAAAGAGAAAGAGAAAGAGAAAGAGAAAGAGAAAGAGAAAGAGAGAGTGAGAGAGAGAAGGATGGGAGAAGCTTGATTACATCGCACTAAGATATTTCATGTCACTTCCGGACTCTCACATCTCTTCCAAAAGGGTTAGAGTGGCGTTATGAGACTTCATTTGGTGTGTGAGAGAGATAAAGATAGATAGATAAATGAGCTTTACAAAGAGAGGGAGGGAGGGAGGGAGAGAGAGAGAGAGAGAGAAAGTGAGAGAGTAATCTTCGTCTTAGAATTAATTTCAATTGGATTACCGTGAATATTGTCAGTACTTACTTACTCCGAGAATTCGCATTCCCGTTTTAGGAGAGTTAAATGAAAAGATGTTATCTATTTGAACGTTATATTCTCGTGTTTTAATACTACTCGTTCATGTATTATAATAATTAGATGAATATGAACATTGAAACAGATCAAAATTGTAAAATATATTATTGTTAAATATTAAATAACTTAATATATAACATTGATTGTACATTCAAATTACTATTTTATTTTCTAAAACCAATGTTATGAAATTTATTAAAATTTTTTTTTACCACTACTACGCCATTATTAAAAAAATGAAGCAAAAGGAGAAAAAAAAATATAAGTATAAAAAGAATAAAGAAAGAAAGAAAGAAATAAAGAAAGAAAGATGGTGGAAGGATAAGGATAAGGGTAGGGGGTTAGAGGGATGGAGGGTGAAAGGTGATGGTCGGTGGTGGATTTCCTCTCGTTAGTCTCGAACAATGTCGAAGTCGCATCCGCGGGAGAATTCCGCGGCCCCGAGGCTCTTTTTTTCTTTTTTTTTTTTCACGACAATGATGGAAAAGCTGGACCACTCTCTAACCTTTCCCGCAACCCCCATCCTACTACCCCGTCTACTACCTATTCTCGCACCTACCCTTAATAACACACTATACCCAAAGCCCTGATTATCTTCAACTCACTCTGGTTCAACTTTCTTTCGAGGTTCGTGGCTCTTTCTCGATACCCCACTGCACTCTGTTCAAGTAAGAAAGGTAAAATGGGAAGAAGGGAAGAAGGGAAGAAGGAAGGGAGAGAGGGAGGAATGAAGGAAGGAAGGGCCAAAGGGCAAAGCGTTTTCCACGTGGACGATGATATCTTCTCTCTCTCTCTCTCTCTCTCTTTCTCATTTTACAATTATATCTATATATATAGAAGATAAAGTAAGATAAATATAAGGAGAAATCATCCCCCCAACCCCTTCCCACCCACTTTTCGTTTCCTTTTCCACCCTTCTACTTCTTCTACTTCTACTTCTTCTTCTTCTTCTTCTTCTTGATACAAGGCTCATTGTTGCCGGAGCCGCGAATCCATTGTACAAAAGTTTCACCGAAGTTCGCCAATTTGCGTTTTTTCTTTCGTTCAATGCGACAAAGGAGACTTCGAAGAAGAACGAAAGACGTCACCTGATATTATCTTCCACCTCTCTCTTTCTCTTTTCCTTTTACTTTTTTTACAAAAAGCAAAAGAGAGAGAGAGAGAGAGAGAGAGATAGAGAAAAGGGTTGGTCCAGGTTGGTTCTTCATCTCTTCGTTTCTCACATTTCTATGCTAAAAGTCGAATGGAATGATGAATCCCTTTATGCAGATTCATAACCGCGTAAAGAAACCATAAAAGGAAACTAAAGATACTTTTTGTTTTTGTTTTTTTTTTTGTTGAATTAGAATAATAATAATTTTTACAAATTATCAAATATAAAATTGTTAATAATAATGAATCAAGTTAAAATCATAAAAAGAAATCAAATAGACACCATGACTATTGTTCCATGAAGGGTCAAACCTTAAGCGTAGTCATGCAGTTGAAACTCGAAACGGGAAAGTACGTAAAATAGGGACACATGAAGGATAGCTTAGGTTTATGGGGTAAAGGGCTAGTGTTTTATTTGACGAAGGGATGAGTAGTAGGAAGAAAAGGGGCAAACGATGAAGTAAGAAAGAATAAAAATAAAAAAAAAAAAAAGGGAGAAAGGACTATTGGTTGAAGTACGGGGTTTTAGAGAGTGCTTCTTTGAAGACGCCTAAGGGCTAACGAAAAAAGTTTCTTCGACAAAAATTTCATCGCCAACTTGACATCCACGAGTTGTGGGGGGAGGGGTGGATGGGGATTTTTATTCGACGCCCTTCGGATACACGATTTTGTCAGATTTTTGCGAGATTTCACGATCGGTAAATCCCCCATGTGGTGTCTCGAGAATGAAGGAAGAAGAATTCCCATTTTTTTTCGATTCGTCTGAATGAAGGATTACACTCGAAATAATCTTTTTACTAAAAACGGATTTTTTCCCCATCACATCCTTTTTTCAGGGATTTTTATTTTATCCTATTATTTTCTTCCTTTTTCTTTTGTGTGTGACTTACAACTTATGTTTACAGAAGTGAATTTCTTCGTCTTCCTTTATGAAAAAGAAAAAAAAATAGTTATAGTTTATTTATATAAATATAACAAAATAAAAAAAATAAAAAACATAACAAAAAAAACCTGCATTGTCATCGTAAAAAATCATTCGTCATATTTGAATCAAAGTAATACAAAAAAATAGAATTTATGACATAGATCCTATATCATTTTCGATCTTATGATTGTAATCAAATAATAATCATATTTATTATTTTATATATTACGACAAAATAAATGTTTATTATTAGCAAATATAATAAACGAATAATACCCAGAATGGGTGAAGATAGTAGGGGGTGGTTTTAAGACTTAATCGGTCGTAATGAACTTTCATCGATCAACGCGACGACGAATTTAATGGCACACGTTTTAATTCCTACTACCCACACTATCACCACTACTATCAACCACCCTTATACATCCCACGTCTTCTCACACAATCGTAATATACGTTATGTGTGCCTGATGATATATATATATATATACCATTTGAAAGGTTTCGTACCGTGAATTAAATGCACAGCGTTTTATTCCTCGAAATCGAATGAATATCTTCCCTCGAACTTTTCTATCGAAGTATCACCACCCCCCCCCCAAGCCCCACCCTTACATCCTCTACCATCCCTTACTCCCACCACAATCTATACAATCTTTACCATCACTAACACTCTTTTCTTTATTCTTTATTCTCCTCGAATGGTTTCTATGAAAGGCACAAAAGTTTCTCACCGCTCGTTAAGAGTAAATTTTTATACACATAAAGAGAGAAAGAGAAAGAATAAGAGAAGAAGTTTCAGGCGAATCAGGTCATTTTTTTATTCCTGCTATTTTTATGGGAAGATCTTTTTTTCTAAGGGAGAAGAACGACAAAGGATCTCGAAGGATGAGAAAGAGAAAGAGAGAGAGAAAGATTTGTGCAAGTTATATGCATTAAAATTTGATTTGTGTTTTCCATGGTTTTACAACATAGTTGTGTATGTATTTATATTTGGATTTGAATAATTAACTCAATATTTTAACTACTCATCTCTATTTAGTTATTTCATAAAACAACTAGGGGTGTTCCGCTACGCGTTGTTGCGGCTCACAATAATTCGTGATTAATAAAATAATATTGCGATTATAAATTGAAATATAAACAATCGTATCTTTCAAGTTGGATGAAACTGCACACAGTGTGTAAAATTTTATTAAAATTGGTTCAGTAATTTAGGAGTCCATTGCGAATAAACAACGTGACACGTAATTTATATATATTAAGACTAATAAAGTGTTATCTATATTCTATCCCTAAAACTATTACCTAGTTGAATTAATTAAATTATATACTTTAATGGTAACATTTATATATATGTGTGTACATGCATGTAGAATTTAAAACGGGATGAGAGAGAAAGATGTAATAAATATATATGCATGTATACATATACGAAAGTAAAGTAGGAGTAAGTGGAGGGGTTGGGGTGGGTGGTTACTGATGGAATTAAAATGGGACTTACGCAAGAGCCGTCGTCGCAGGTGGATAATACTTCGAAGCCGTCAAAGTGTTATCATCGTTCTTGATTCCTTCTTTCTTTCTTTCTTTCTTCTTCTTCTTTTTCTTCTTTCCATCTCGTAAAAAGCAACCGCGAGTCATTTTCTCTCTTCTTTTATTTGAATGACGATGAAAAGGAAAAGAGAGGGAGAGAAAGAGAGAGAGAGAGTTTCAATCCTTTGTTCACGTTTTTTAGGACGATTCTGAAACAAGAAAATGGAAAAGCGTGCCATTCATTAAAAATGCATCTGCGAATTTTTATAATGTATGCAACTATATATATAAAACTACACACAGTGTGGAAAATTTGATTAAAATCGGTTCAGTAGTTTAAAAGTCCATTGCGGACAAACAACGTGACACACACGTAATTGATATATATTAAGATGATTAATTTGTTAAGTTATTATATTTATTATATTATATTATATTATATTTGAAATGAAGTTAGTAAAAAAATCTTTATCTTTTATATATAATATATGATAAAGTTTTGGATAGTTTGCGTCATCATTATAATAATTCAAAGTAATTGCGGTATCGGGATCGTTTCTAGTAGCAAAACTATGATCGGTAGTAGACGAACTGAATCGTATAGTCGGTAACTTTGAAAGTTTAGCGAACGCAATACCGTTATGTGCTTCAAAATGCAAGGATCATTTCCGTCACGACGTACAACTACTACATTGTTATATTTCAGGCAACATCCGATATACCACGCATACTAAACAACTACAAGACTATACTAGGTGGGTATTCATTGAACAGTAATTCGTCAACGCTGGTAAATAAACTTATTATGTCATACTTTTCATCAACATATTATAGAATCATAATTACATTATTTATTTTCTTTTTTGATTATAGAAACAATTTTGATTATTTTTTTCTTTTTTCTTTTTAAATAATACATTAACATGTGATTTATAATATCGTGAAAAATATTAATAATTTTATTTGTTAACCGTTTATGATACTTTGACCAATTACGTTATATTGATATTTTATTAGAAATATCAAACCTACCCCCTTTAACTATTATCCATAACTTCCACTATACTCGTACAAACATTTATGCAAATATAAAAACTAATATTGGGTTTACTTAGAATCGATTAGATGGAAATTAGATAAATGAATTTCTACTGACAATGCCAATTCAAATATAGACACACCCATATACAATTTTTCTCATTCCAATTTTCTCGTTTCACGTGTATTATTAACTCGAATAATATTTCCCTTTTTTTTTTTTTATTTGTAATGAATAATTAAAATAATACGAAATGAAACCAAAAAAAAAAAAAACAAACAAACAAAAAACAAGAAAAGAATTAATAAAAATTCTACATCTATGAGAAGATTCATCAAAAAGGTGTCATATGCATTTATCTATGCGTCGTTACGGGTCACCCTATATATTCACGTTCAAATATCGTTCAAAGCACTTATACACACATACACACACACACACACACACACGATTTCATATACGCTAGTATATGTACTTTGGGATCCCTACGCGAATATCCAACCCTCGAAGTTCACTCACTCTCTCTCTCTCTCTCTTTCTCTTTCTCTCTCACTTTTATACACACGTTCTGAACCGAAGGAAGCCGTATGTGCATTGGACATTGATTTTAAACGTATACTGTTCAAGAAAAAATGTGAAAAAAAGTGGTAAACTTAACGTCAAACCAATCTCTCTCTCTCTCTCTCTCTATCTCTCTCTTTCTCATAAATAAATTTCTAAATAAATATTAGATGTAACGATAATTTAGAAAATACCTTGATACAAAATTGTATGTGTGTTTGTGTTCACATTTAAATTATTATCTTATTTTCTAAAACCATATCTTACTGTTAATAAGAACTTGAAAAATTTACATTAAAAGCAAACATCTATATATGAATTAGGTGTCACGTTGTTTGTCCGCAATGGATTCCTAAACTACTAAACCGATATTAATCAAATTTTGTACACTGTGTGCTGTTTTATCCAACTTGAAAGATAGGATATATTAAAAAAGGCGTGTAATTTTATACGTAAAAAATAAACGTGCGTGAGATGAGTATGTAAGTGCGCTTTGCGCGTGCGCTTGTAAGAGAAAGCGAATGAGAGACAAAGAGAGAAGAACAGGATCTAGACGAATGTGAGAGGAAGGGTGCTGAGAAGGGAGAGAAATATGCGACAGAGAGAAAGATAGATAGATAGAGAGAGAGAGAGAGAGAGATAGTCAGGGTGGAAACTGGCTCGACGTACATACGAAGGGGTGAAAGGGGTGTGTGACGTGAGAGGGGTACCAGCGTAATATCGGAACCCCAAACGGTAATCGATATCACATCTCTCTCTCCTTCTCTCTCTCTCTCTCTCTTTCTCTCTCTTCACGTATATTTAACTATCGTTCATGATTATTCCCAAAAAAAAAAAAAAAATAAATAAATATTACGATATCTTACAGTGTATAAGAAATTGAAAAGTTGGCATTACAAAGGCAAATGTTATTAATTAAAAAATTTAATTATATATAAAATGAAAATGAATAATAAAAATAAGCCGTAAAAACGAAATAGAAATTTTCTGTAGTTACATTTACGTTACTTTCACTCTATTTTAATTTCATGGGATCATACAAACTAGACTTTTTATGTATTAAAATGTAATGTCGATTCTTGCAAAAGAAAGGAAAAAAAAAAAAACAAGGAAAATAAGTATGAAAAAAAAAGAAAAGAAGAATCTTTGCTTCAATCGTAATGGAAATGGTACTCTATCCTCTCCCCTCTCCCCCACCTCACTCTCTTTCACCCCTCCCCCGTTAAAAAGCATGAACGACGAAGAAATAATTCTTCATTGATATCTTTTTCGCACGAACGATAAGGTACGATCTATGATTCTTCGAAGAAAAGGAAAAAAGATTTCGTTTTACTTCGAGAAAATTACGTTTTTTCTTTATGAACCTCCTTTGGCTATCTCTTCCCACCCCCACCACCCCTTCTTACTTCTTCCTTACTTCCGTTTCTTCCCTTTTTCTTTTTTTTTTTCTACCTCTCATTGATTCCTTTACTTTTCTTTCGATAAATGTATTTAGTTTGCTTGGTTTATTTTATTTTTCATCAGGGAGAAAGAGAGACAGAGAGAGAGAGAGAGAGAGAGAGAGAGAGGGGGTGGAATAAACGATTGCAGCATTAATGCGAAGATTTATTTGAACTCTTAGTCAACTCTTTTTAAACGAAATGAAAAAATAATAATATTAATAATAATAATAATAATAAAAGAGATTATATTTTTCTTTCTTTTGTATAAAAATATATAAAAGAAAGAGAGAGAGAGAGAGAGAGAGAGAGAGAGAGGGAGAGAGAAAGGGTGGGAAGATTTTAATTGTACGAGGATAGAATTTGAAAAAAATTCAGTTCAACGATTATCACCGTTCTTAGAAGATTATTAATTGTATAAATTTAATATCTTTTTCTTTTTTTACGTTGATATTTTAATAAATTTAAAAAGATTGAACATTGAAATTTTAAGAAGAAAAAAAAAAATAATGAACAAAATATAAAAAGAATAGAAGTTTGATAGAAACTTCGTTGAAGTATGTTCGTGAAATCTTTTTGTTTACAAATGATCGAAATTATTTGTAGAAAAAAATATCGTAGAACGTCGTTTTTTTTTTGTTCGCGTAGCAACGAACAACGACAATGACAACTACAAGTACAACTACAAGTACAAGTACAAGTACAAGTACAAGTACGATTACTACGACGTCCCTTTTCCGGATACTCGATTTCCTCCTCGACGGGGGAGTTCATTAAAACGGCCGTATGATCTCGTTAACGCGTCGAAGCATCAATCAGCCGAGCTAACTGTATTTACGCTATCGCCGTCGAGATCGATCGAAAAACTACCCCCTTTCAACCAACCCCTTAACCACCCACACACCCCATCTCCTCTCACTCACTGTCTCTGTACAGATCATCAAACTAATAACCTAATTTGTCCGATACTAAAACTACTACTACTACTACTACTACTACTACTACTACTACTCTCTTTCTTTCATTTTAGATATCAAATGAATTTGCAACATTTATTTAAGTAAGTTCTCAACATCATTTTCAGCTTGTTAATCAACGATTGAGAGTAAGAAAAGAATATTAATTATTTTTATTTTACTTTCCTTCGATACAATTTAACTCCCCCGTATATTGCACGTAATATTATTTTCTAGTATTTCATTGTTATTTTTGTATTATTTTAGCTTTGCTATAATAAAAATAATTTAAAAACGTAAGCTTTCAAATAACCATACACCATTTAATTGTCTGTCCGTCCTATTAAGTCAACCAAAATAGTGGAAACAAGACTTGAAAGTGTGGTAGAAAGAAAGGATGAAGAGGTTGAGTTGATCCTTGACAGAATAGTAATAGTAATAATAGTAATAATAGTAGTAGTTTAGGGTAGGTCACCAGCCAAGTAACCAACCAACCAAGCAACCAGCCAGCCAGCCAGTCAGCCAGCCAGCCAGCCAGCACATTTTGGTGGGGTTGAATCCTCTCCTCTACCACAAGACGTTACATACTATACTATGCTAATTAGCCGGTAGAAACTTGCCGAGCGAATAGTACTAGGTTCGCGGCGAACTATGCCCGCATGCCCCTTGGGTACCAAATACCAGCACCACCACTACTACCATCACCCTTCACTACCACCACTACTAGCACCACCATCAAGGTAGGCTATGGATGGCGGTGCCGACATTACTAAAATGTCAGAGAATGTCACCCATCTCATAATCTATGTCCCCACGACCTCTTCCTCCCCCCCCATACCCCCTTGCCCTTCCGCTTTACTCTGTTCCTCAGAGACTACCCCTATCCATCCCTCTGTCGTTCCTGCTCGAATCCCATCCCACCCCTCTCCTCTCTCTCACAACAGCCACCCCTCTTCTCTTCTCTTCTCTTCACTTCTCTTCTCTCGTAAGCCACTCCCCCTCCTCCTCCTACTCCTTCTCCTCCTATCCGCATTCTCGCGAGAAATTAATTTGGCCCTATTAAAATGATCACTTCTTGGATTTAAGTTACGATCTCAACCGTGTTTTCTCTTCTACCTATCACCAGCCACGTTTTTTCTCACTTTTTTCTTCTTCATTTTTTTACGTGCACTTTATACTTGAGTATAAGATAGAAATATCAAATATCATTCCTC